CCAGGAATCGGCCGAGGTCGTACCATCTGCGCCATCGGACAGCCGCTATCGTTCAATGTTGAACGATTCACGCGGTGTCAGAAACCAACGCTCAAGCCGTCACGACGCGAATTTGCCGGATCCAACTATTTGATCTGATGGGCACACGTTGACAACTGCAAGCGAGTTCCAGACTGCTTACACTGCATTTCGGAACTAGCGCGCGACGCCGTCCACGGACAAGACTACGCAGGAGCCGAAGGCTCAACTTAAGTTGCTTGAAATGGGCGTCCTCCTTATCATGATCGTCATCGTGCGGCTAGCACATTGCGGAGAAAACGATTACACGGGGGAGATTTCCAGGAACGCCGCAGTCTTTCTGAGAGGGCTCGCGTTCAAGCTTGACCGTTCACAGCGGTCGCGCCCGCGCGGCTCTGTTTCCATATACTCGCAGCATCTCGAATCGCGAGCTGCTGCGCTGCGCGCGCTGACGCGGCCACTGGCACCAACTATGTCCGCAGCTACGTGCGATCATCAACAGCATCACCAGCATTAGCATCAGCTTTAGCAGCATCAGCTTTAGCAGCATCATCAGCAGCAGCATCATGATCATCACCACCAGCATCACCATCGTCGCCATCATCCTCATCGTCATCATCAGCATCAGCCTCAGCATAATCCTCGTCATCATCAGCATCAGCATAAACATCAATGTAATGATCATCACCATCGGCAGAATCATCCTCGCCATCATTATGACCGTCCCCATCATCATCATCATCATCATCATCATCATCATCATCATCATCATCATCGTCATCGTCATCGTCATCGTCATCGTCATCACCAGCATCATCGTGACCCGCATGATCAGAATCACCATTATTGATATTATTCTCACCATCATCATCAGCAGCAGCATCACCGTCATCGTCAGCAGAAGCATCATCATCGTAATCATCATCAGCATCATCATCATTAACACTATCATCATCATCATCATCATCATCATCATCATCATCATCATCATCATCATCATCATCATCATCAGAATCATCATCATCTCTCCTGCTCCGCACCCTCCTCCTTTCCTCCCGGTCATCACCGGGGGGGGGAGGGCGAGAGGGAGCTGGGGGGGACGGCGTGCGCCGGCACGAGCGAGAGGCGAGAGCGCCCGAGACCCGGGCCGCACGCAAAGGGGGTCTCCAGAAGGGGCAGGGCAAGGGAGGCACTTCCAGCGCAGGCAGCGGTCAAGGGAGGAAAAACCACCCGGACCGGACACCTGGCGTTTACTAAACGTCGGGGGTGGACAGACCTCCTACCCTGACACGTCGATTGGCGAATTGGCCGTCTTCGGTTCGCGAGAGGGCGTCGCGGCCGTCATTTTCGCGGGTCCAGGTCCGTCGGTTTCGGTCCCAGGCCGTTTTCACTAAAGGGAGGTTTACTAAAGGGAGGTTTGTCCACCGCCGATAAACGGCCCCGGGCGTTTACTGAACAGCCCTGCCCTGTTCGATTCCTTCTTTGGGCGCGTTTGCTAAACGACTTCGCGTGTCGGGGTGGTCATTCTGGGGGTGGATTTGTTTACCTCTAAGGGGGCCACCAAATGGCGCTAGTCGCATCTGGAGCCCTGGAACCTTCGGCCCGCATACCACACCAGAGGGCTGTGAAGATGGAGCTTGGAGTAAGGGTTTATTGCAAAGTCGTTGATGGGTCTCGGGTTTACACTGTTCCTCCTTCTCCTCGCCCTCCTCCTCCTCCTGTTCCCGCTTCCTCCCTCCTTCCCCGCCTCCATCCCTCCTTAATCCCTCCCTCAATGCTCCCTCATCTCCCAGAGGCCCTGAAGGCCAGGATAGCGCGCGCAGTGCCCGCCCTGCTGGGCTGCCCCGCTGGGCGGCGAGAGGTGCTCAACGCGCACGACCGTGTCATGGAGGAGCGGCCGGCCCGCCATGGCCGTCGTCGTTGTCGTAGTCGTCGCTCGTCTTCGGCGCCGTCGTCGTCGTCTCTGTCGCCGTCGTCGTCGTCGTCGTCGGCGGCGTCTTCGTCGCCGTCGTCGTCGCCGCCGTCACCGTCGTCGCCGCCGCGCCGCCGCCGCGCCCCGCCCCTCAGCCTCTGGGGGGGGGAGGGGGCCTCGACGGAGGAGAGTGGCGCGCCGAGCCGGGCTGGCGGCCCTCCCCGGCGCTCTCGTTGTGTCTTGTCCGGGCCTCCGGCGGGGGCGTCTTATTCTCAGCGGCACCGCAACGGGTATTCACTAGCGGGCACGTTGGAGACTCGCCATGAGTTGCCACTCCAGGGCCTCTTGCTGGCATTGCGGCGTTGCCCACATCGGGGAGGCTTGGGTTCGCAGGGTCACTGGCCAGAGTACCCGTCAGCAGAGAGTCCCAATCGGAGGGGCCGGATTCTGGGGGCGGGGGCGCGCGGACAGGCAGGGGGAGCCTTCAGATCCGACGTGGCGCAAGAGTCGGGGGAGCGTAAGACCTGGGTTTGCCAGGACTCGGGTTCGCCATCGTTTTTTGACGACCGCGCCTCGGATTTTGACGAGGAGGAGTTTCGTGGGATGTCTGCAGCGGGAGGCCTCGTCAAAATGCAGGCTCGACCTCGTCATTTTTTTGACGACCTCGTCGGGGATTTCCGAGTCCCCTGTACCCAGGTCTTACGTCCCCCTGAAAGAGTTGCAACATCTCGAAAAAGCACGACCGAAGCTCCAGACCCCATCCTTCTGCGTCATTGATCCTGCCGGAACGGTATATATGTGCGGGTCCTGGGGCCCGAAGCCGGGCGACAACGCCCGCTATGAAAATCTCGACATCTCGAACGCAAGGATCCCAGGGGAGAAGGAGGAGGAGGAGGAGGAGGAGGAGGAGAAAGAGGAGGAGGAGGAGGAGGAGGAGGAGGAGAAAGAGGACGAGAGAGGAGGAGGAGGAGGAGGAGGAGGAGGAGGAGGAGGAGGAGGAGGAGGAGGAGGAGGAGTAGGAGGAGGAGGAGGAGGAGGAGGAGGAGGAGGAGGAGGAGGAGGAGGAGGAGGAGGAGGAGGAGGAGGAGGAGGAGGAGGAGGGGGAGGAGGAGGATAAGGAGGGGAGGGGGGGCAGGAGGAAGGCGGGGCGGAGGCTGCCAAGCAGCGACCGATCCCGACCCGCAAGAGCGCGGCAGGAAAAGCGGGCAAAGAGAGGTGGGCCATGAGCGAGGTCGTTGGCGCGGCTTGGCGCTGGCCAGCAGGCCGCAGGCACAGGAAATGCATATACCCATGTGCACAGATACAAGTATTCGTAATGTTGTGTGTACGCATGCATGCATGCATACATACGTATATACCTATATGCATACACACAAACATACAAACACACAAACAAACAAACAACCAACCAAACAAACAAACAAACAAAAAGACATGCACATGCATACGTACGTACAAATGTACATACGTACACTCATGCATGCACGCAAACATATATTCCAGGCGTACATGCATGCACGCAAATCTGCATACAAGCATACGTACATGCATACATAAGTTCATACATCCATACATGCATTCAGGCATACAAACAAACAAACAAACAAACAAACAAACAAACATGCATACATGCATGCATGCATGTGTATACATATACACATCTATACACACCTATACAACGACGGAGGTCTGGAACACAAAGGCGGGGGGGCACGGGAGAAGGAGAGAGCAAGGGATCGTTTCCCCCTGCCGACGAGGACGAGGAGGAACAGGAGTTGGAGGAGGAGGAGGAGGAGGACTATCCTATGCTCGCCCTTGTATTTCGAGGAGGCGCGGCATTGTTCCGCCCCGCCTTCCGCTTCCTGGAAGAAGGAGGAGGGGCTGATCGACGAATGAAGTCTTAGGTAGTTTCTGCGTTGTCATGGTTTACATGTATATCCCTTCCTCCCTCCCTTCTTTGTTGTGCTCACTATCTCTCTCTCTCTCTCTCTTCCTTTCTCTCGCCCCCTCCCTCTATATCTCTCTCTCTCTCTCTCTCTCCCCCCTCTCTCTCTATATCGCTCTCCCTCTCTCTCCCTCTTCCTCACTCTCTCTCTCTCTCTCGGTCTGTCCTCCCCCCCCCTCTCTCTCGTTCTCTCTCTCTCTCTCTCTGTCTTTGTCTGCCTCTCTCGCTCTCTCTCTCTCTCTCTCTCTCTCTCTCCCTCTCAATATGTATAGATACACGTGTCTATACAAATATAAATATATATATATATATAAATATACAGATGGGCACACATACAGATACGTGTGTGGAGAGATCGATCTTTATCTCCCCCTCTCTCTCTCTACCAATCAGAACGATCACGATACCCGGATGATCTCAAGACGAGAGAGAAGGAGGAGAAGGAGGAGGAGGAGGAGGAGGAGGAGGAAGGGGTGTAGTTTTGTTTGGATGACCTGACCCTCTCAATGATATAGGCCCAGATGTTTGCTGGGATTCATCCGTGTCCAGCATGGGCAAGCCACGCCAGGACACTCCGCTACTCGGATGGAAAACCTTGGCGTCAATCAGCCTGCCTTATGGATACGTACTTTTCGAGGCAGGGCTAGTGAGAGATCAAAGTCGGCCCGTACGTTGTTTCCCAAAGATTGCATGTTTGCAGTTGGATCGACGAGCAAGCCCGATCAAGTCTGACTAGCGAAATGAGCCTTGAGCCACAATATGGAGCAGGGGAGGGGATGACTAGGCGCATGAACTGAGGGGCGCTAGAAGTCCGAATGCGACTTCGACGCTAAGTGGCGATGGCTTGGACGCTATAGTATGTCCTTATGGTAACGGGCGACCACTGATGATGAAGCTCGCCCGATGCGCACACGGCATGAGTTTTGCTGGATGTATTGTCGCACAGCTAGTGGTTCGAGAGTCTGTGAGAACATGTCTGCGCACGAACTACGAGCCGCAAGAAATCATCGACGCTTGGCATCACAGCGTGTGGAACAGTATGGAGCATCAGCGCACGGGGTGGGCCCCCGATGGTTCCACAGCATTCTTTCGAACATCGAGTCTTGCACCCAGCTCGAACTATTTGACCTGCCCCTCGTTTGTAGGATGGCGACCGCCTCCTCTTCGACACGAAGAAGTGCCAGATTATATTTGGCGTTAGCCCGATTAATGGGCTGGGAGGGGCGCAGAATGCTGGTTCTCTGGGGAGTTCAGAGAGGGATCATGAATGTTGCGTCATGTGTCCGGTATCTTCTCCAGGGAGATTAGCAAAACGGTTAGTAGAGTGTCAAGTATGATCAGAAGGTCCATTAGTTGGATTGCGTTGCTTGACTAGCTCAGGACAGACAGCTCAGCATTGGACATGAGATGGTCGGGCATCTTCATGCTTTGCAGGTTCAACGGGCGAACTGAGCAGAAAGATCAAATGATCTGGCTGCTGGCATAGTCGAGCATTCACTTCTTGAGCATGACGGGCCAGTCTGGCCCAGTGGACGCTCCAGAAAGGTGACAAAGAAAGAGAGAAAGAGAGAGAGGGAGACACACACACACACACACCAGAGGCCAGAGACTGTGTACGCTGCGTGCTTGTACGAGACTCCAGGGCAGCTCGTAGCGAAGTCCTCAGAGATCGGCCGACAGGAGCGAGCAATACAGCACGAATGGCCATTCGGGCTGAAAGGGTTTGTGCATTTCAGAGATCGCGCGGGGTGGGGAAGAAGATCGGCAGACATCGCCACACGGTTTCTGCGCAGCCAAAGGTGGCCGAGAGCGTCTGTGATGCCCACCGTCAAGTGCCCTGAGAGGCTCAGATGGCCCTCGCCCGAGACCGAGACGAGGCAAGATGGCCCACGATCCTGCGTTTCCAGGTGCTCGCCACGTCAGACCAGGCAGCCTGAGACCCTGGGCTCCCCAGAGGCTCCGCTCCGCCAGGGTGGCGGTGTGACCTCGGCATGGCAGTGCCCAGCCTCCCCGTGCGCATACCGAGCACTCGGTTCAAAGCTCCTCCGTTCCCCATCCTCCCCCCCCTCCCCCCCCCCAGACCTCCGACGGCTCGATCTGCTTCGAATCGGCGGCGCCGCTGACGCTCCCGGACCCATTTCCCCAGGGCTGCAAACATTCCGAAGCTGTGCTGGCTTGACTCTTTCCCGAGTCGCCAGTGATCTGGGTCCCATTCGTTCAGGGGCAACGCTCAGGGGGGGGGGAAAGGCTCAGGGAGGGAAACGTCGAGCTGGAACCGGCGATAGGCCCCCGATTGCGGATCCGCCCGTTGCTGGGCGAGGTGGGCTTTCGGCCCTTACATCGGCGAGATGTTTCCCCCCCTGAGCGCATCTCCCCCTCACGTTGCCCCTCATTCCCTCCCCCCCCCTCCCCCCTCCCCAAGGGCCTCCTGTGCCGATTGGGGCAGGGACCGCCGCTTCAGCATGTGGTACGAGACCCTCCGGAGTCAGCTCGCCGGGTCCCCGAAGGACTTGAAGAAGGATGGAGGAGGAGGAGGAGGAGGAGGAGGAGGAGGAGGAGCAGGAGGAGGAGGAGGAGGGAATGAGGAGAAGGAGGAGCGGGAGGAGCAGGAGCAGGAGCAGGAGCAGGAGGAAAAAGAGGGAGAGGCAGAGGGAGAGGAAAAGGGAGAGGAAGAGGGAGAAAGAGAGGGAGAGGGAGGAGGAGGAGGAGGAAGAGGAGGAGGAGGAGGAGGTGAAAGGGAAGGAGGACGAGGAGGAGGCGGAGGAGGAGGAAGAAAAGAGGGAGGAAGGTGAGAGAGGGGCGTGACTCCGTCGACGATTCATGTGTGGTAGCCGTGCGGGTTGGGAACGCAACAGGACACATACGTGGGGGGCTCCGTCGATAGTGAAGGTGTGAGTGCCCGGACGGCTGCGGCATGGTGCCTGCACCGAAAGCCGAACCCGTGAAAAGCATGCTCCATCCTGCACGTCCTCGCCCCTGGGTGGCGCCACGAAGGGGCCTCACGCGAGAGGTCATTAGGGGGCCGTCGGGCAGGCAGGATAGTGAGAGGTTGAAACGATGATGGCGGCGTAAGAGCAGTAGTGCATTCGTTTACCGGTGCGGCTGCCGCGGCCGGTGCTCGTATGAGTCGTGGGAGTGGCTTGGGAGGGGGTGGCAGGCGCGGGCAGCTGTGAACGCCGACATCTGCGTGCGCCTGTAGTGCAGGAAAGCGGTCAGTGTGGAGGCAGAGGGCGGCAGCGGGAAGCTGAGAAGCCCGCTCGCTGTTGGACATCCACAGCAGTCGTCTTACAGGCCTCAGAACAAATTTAGCGAACACTCATGATGCCACATTCATCTGTCAACGGCTCCCCCTCCCCCCAATCAAAGTTGGCGGTGGGTCTGATGAGATGCACTTCGACCGCAGTTTCCCCCGCGCGTGCCAACGTTGAGGTTGGGGGGGAGGGGGAGTGTTCAGTAATTGTCTCCCTCTACTGTATCGCAGAAGCTAGTCGACATGATCAGTGAAGGGCGTGTCCAACGCAAAGTCCGACGGTCGACCCACAGAGTTTGAGCACGTGTAGATCGCAGAGAACTCGAGCTCTGTGATGGCTGCGTGTTAGATGGCAAAAGGACACAGGTACGTATCCCATGCTGTGCGTAACGGGTACGTTGGCCACGACCTCGGCAATTGGTGGGAGAGTGGTCTGCACAGTCGTTGCCATTCGTTGTTGCCCCCAATCGTGGTAGATCGTGAACCACGGTGGACTGGACAGCAAGTTTGGCAAGGTCGACAAGTGTAGATTGTGGTGGCGGAGCTTCGTCAAGATGAGAGGGAGGGATTGCAGCAGAAAGCGCAGAGTTGGCGCAGCGTGGAGTTGTCAGACTCGCGTCTTTGGCACGCCGGCGCCTTCTCTGGAGCGCTGCTTCCTGTGGGGGCGGAAGTCGTGCGGGTCGCGCGGGTGCCAGGCCCTGCCCATCGGCAGGCACTTGCTGTGAGAGTGCTCGTGCCGCGCGTGGCCGTGCGTGGCGCTTCAAGGGGAGGGTGGCCAGGGAGGTCCGAAGGTGCCGTGTCAGGGAGTTCGCCATAGGAGTTGCGATGCTCCCTCGCTGAGACTTGTCGGGGGTGGACAGAACCCCCAACAGTGACACGTCGATTAGTAAATTGTCCGTTTTCGGTTCTCGAAAGGGCGCCGTGGCCGTTATTTTCCAGGCTTGCGCCCGCCAGGTTTGGGCCTCAGGTCGTGTTCACTAAACCACGTTTTACTAAAGGGGGGTCTGTCCATCCCCGAAAGGTGCCGTGTCAGGGAGTTCGCCGTAGGAGTTGCGATGCTCCCTCGCTGAGACATGGCCAATGGATCATCGTGTGTGTCGGTCTCGTGCCGTGGCTCGTCGTGGGCGGCGAAGCACGTCGTGGTGAGGCATGCAGTCACCAGCGGGCCGGAGGGACGGCGCGATCGGGTCAGGTATATCAGCGAAGTCGCGGTCGGAGTGTGCAGTCTGTTGCCATGCATCGTCCAGGATTGTCCTTGAGCGCCGCGGGAACGGTATGGCACGTCTGCAGTGGACCCCGTGCCCTGGGTGTGGGGCGCACGATGTGCCCGTACTTGGGCGCGCGTGCGTGATGAATGCAGGAGGGGCTCGCGGTCCGTGGCTGCTGCGCCAGCTGCTGCCGAGAGGCTTGGAAGTTGGGATGGGAGGCCGGTGAGTCGGGTCCACGAGCTGGCCGCGCGTGGCTCCGAGCGCCTTGGCTCTGGGCGTTCGAGGACGGCCACGGCTCGGGCGTGGAGCGCGAGGCATCGGAGGCAGCAGGCAGGCAAGCAGTAGGCGCTGGTGAGGAGGCAGTGCGGGCGGTCGGCTTCCGGCCAGTTCCAACACGGGGCACTCCAGCTTTCGCAGGGTGGACCACTTAGTGTGGCGCGGGCGTGGCCACCACTAGCAGCGACCAGTGATGAGACCACGATGTGCTATCCCGTGCCGGAGATCGCACCTTCGATTGGTTGCTAGATGTCGCCACAGCGTCGCGCGACTGAAAGTCCTGGAGGACCAGCACGGTGGTGTGCCGTGAGGGGCGCGGGATCGAATTGGCAGCCGCGCGGTTGTGTCGTCGGTAGGGTTGAAGGGTAAAAGATCAAAGTTGATCGGAATACGTTATTCGAAGACGGTTTGCAGTGGATCGGTAGTCCATGGGTCCAGGTGATCGTGCGGATGGTCGGTTTACGATTCGCCAGCGTGGTCCATATGGAGCGTCGTGTCTGGCTCGACATGAGGTTGTGGGCTAAGATGTTGGATGGCCCACACCAGGCCCTGTGGGGTGCCATCAGTCGTATGAACGAGTGCGGGCGTGATCGAGCCGACGCCTTGAAAGCGCACAGTGCGTTCAGGACTATGTCGACATCCTCGGAGGAGACAGCGTCTTTGAGATCATCATCGTACAATGTGTTGCTGTAGTGAGCGCTCCCCAGCGAAATTCTCTCCACACTCTGGATACATCTGGCCGGCGGATGGCCGGCGCGGAAAAGAGCGTGGAGAGATTCCAACATTGTGTTGCAGCATTGCGAACATCATGTGTGTCTGGTAACGTCTGCCATTGCGAGGCGTTGCTGGTGCGTAGAGCGTAGACGACGTGTGCTCGTACGGCGCGCGCCTGACGCGGGTCGACCAGACCCCGGGTTAACAAGCAAGGCGCTTCCAGTTGCCGAGGTCGCTGGGTAAGATCTGGCGCGTCATCTAGGCGTGGGTCCTGTCGGCGCGTCCAGTTTATGTCACCTACAGATCAATGAAGCCTTGCAGTGGTGCCGATTCGCGCGGGGGCTGCAACAGTGGCAACGGCACGGTGGCACGCCCTGCAGTGGTGCTCGACCAGATGGTCGGAAGCGGTGCCAGCAGAGTGAGGCCGCACCAACGGCCCGCCCCGCTCCTGCGAGAACAGTGTCATCGGGGACGGCTCTGACTTGGTGGCGCGGGCAGCCGATGGCAGCGCATCACAAGTTTGAACAGCTGCTGGAGAAAAGGAACGCGTGTCAGGCGCTGGGACGAGCGCGCCAGTGGCCGGAGTTGTGCATCCGTGTCGATGCGAGCAGGCTCTCATTGAGCAGTAGGTGGGTGGTGTCTTATGCGCATGGGATGTGGAAATGTATTGTGTGTGTGTGTGTGGGGGGGGGGGGCTTGTGTGGGGCTTGATGGGACAGTTCGGGGCCGAGCGAACCTTGGACAGCGGACACGTCAACGGCGCGGTCAGTGGAACGGATCCGAAGGATACCAAATTCGTCATTCCAGAAGTCGGTGCGTGTATTGTCAGCGCCCGCGCCCCATTTTAAGAAGGTTGCTGTGTTGGTAGGTCCGATTTGGCGCTGTAACCATCGGCGCAAAGGGTTAACACATAGTGGTGAGGACCACTCCTGTGTCTGGCAACGATGGCAGCATGACTCGAAGTGATCCAATAAGAGACATTGTCGATAAAGCTGGCATCAGCGACCGGCAGAATGTTGATCATGTCTGAGCCCACGTCACTAGTGAGTGGTGACAGGCTTGGGCAGATGAGCAGAGTCGTTGATCTATGTTTTTGTCCGCGAGTTTGGTGCGGGTGGCGCTGGTGGCTCTGATGAAGACGAAGAGGAATTCTTGCGAGGTTGTCGGGGGAGGACGGAGGATGGAGGGGGACGAGAGAGGGAAGACGGATGCCGGAGGACGGGGGAGGAGTGCGAGTTGCCGCAGAAAGCGGGGTCAGTGACCACCGAAGACGACGACGACGACGACGACGATGACGACGACGACGACGACGAGCTGGGCACGGGTGCTGGGCACGGGTGCTGGGCACGGGTGCTCAGGTCACCCGCGAGCACCAGAGCAGGACGGAGGAGGAGGGAGAAGGAGCAGCAGGAGAAGGAGGATGAGGACGAGGACGACGACAACGGAAGAAAACGGAAGAAAACAGAGGATGAGGAGGAGGAGGAGGAGGAGGGAGGAGGAGTCAGCCACGCGCAGAGGGGGTAGGGGGGAGTTTGGAAGGCTTCTTAGAAGCACCCCTGCTTCTTAGAAGCTCTCCCCCCTCCCCCTACCCTCGTGCGCGCGCCGCCGATGGAGGAAGACTGAGGAAGCCGGAGACGGAGGAGGCGGAGGAGGAGGAGGAGGAGGAAGAGCAATAGGAGGAGGAGGAGGAGGAGGAGGAGGAGGAGGAGGAGGAGGAGGAGGTTCCTCCGAGGACTACCTGGTGGAAGAGATCGGGAGGCGAGAGGTGGACGCCCAAGCGCAGATGGACCTCGCCATGGAGCAGGAGAAGATGCAAGGAGCCGGGCCCTGCCACCAGCTCCTGCTTGTCGTCATCCTCGTACTCTTCATCATCGCCTCCTCCTCCTCCTCCTCCTCCTCCTCCCTCCCCTCCTCCTCCTCCTCCTCCTCCTCCTCCTCCTCCTCCTCCTCCTCCTCCTCCTCCTCCTCCTCCTCCTCCTCCTCCTCCTCCTCCTCCTCGGGCCAGTGGACCCTGAGGGGCGGACGGGGCAGACGGACCTGAATGGCGAGATCGGGCCAGTGGACGTTGTCGAGCGGGAGGAGTGGCTGGTGCATTAAGTCATGATTATCTTGCACAGCTGCGTTCTAGAGCTCGGACCTCTTTATTTTCGTCGTCGTTCGTCGTCCCCCCCCCCAGCCACAGAAAGAAACTCCAGGAGGAAGGAGGCGAAAGCCTCGTGTCCCTCGCAGCTCCTTGGTGCAAGAGCCAGGTCACGCGTGCCACTCGTTCCTTCGTGAAGTTTGAGGAAGTCTAAAGCGAGAGCACGATTCCAGAGTAAGTTGTGAGAAAGTACTAGGCGAGAGCACGATTCCAGAGCGGCGAAAACGTGAATCCTGAATGCATTGTGAGAAATGTTCAGGCGAGAGCACGGTTCTTCCACAAGTTGCAGGGAAGCCAAGAGCGAGAGCACGATTCGCAAATAGAGTATGAGAGAGTCTCAGGCGGGAGCCGTTGTTGTTGCTGCTGTTGTTGGTGGTGTTGGTGGTGGTGGTGTTGTTGGTGGTGTTTCTGGTGTTGTTGTTGCTGTTGTTGATGTTGGTGTTGTTGTTGATGTTTTTGGTGGTGTTTTTGGTGTTGTTGGTGTTATTGTTGTTGTAGCCCGGAGGCCAGCAACGCAGTTTGAGCCCAAGAAGTTCCCTCTCAGAGTAAATGGGGTCTGGGGTTGGAGGAGCGCCGATGCATCGCCGACGTCGCCGGTGCATCGCCGATGCAGCGGCGATGCATTAGCAATGCGGCGCGATCCCCCGACCCCATCATCTCCGACCCCATCTGGGAGGCCTCTATTCCTTACAAAAGCAAGGTGCGAGCGTCGGGGGTGCACGCTTGAAAAAAACAGGCGCGCTGCTCGGGGGAGATCACCAAGAATTATCTGTCAGAAACGAGAGCTCAACAACAACTAGGTGTGTTAACCCTTATGTTCGATGCTTCCACATACAAGATGCACCCATCATGATAACTCCCCCCTTCATGGGAAATTAATTCGTTATCGGGGCGGGAGGGAAGGGGAAGAGGGTGGGTGGGCGATTTCCCTTTCCCGCAATCCCCCTCAGGAAACTGTCATACTAACAACACCTCTTACAAGGGACTTCACTACCGTCAATTCAGACTGCACATGACCGTCGAACATTGGTGCTCGAGGATCAAGCGTCAAAGATCGAGGATCGGGGTCTGGACAATCACGACGACGACGACGACGACGACGACGACGACGACGACCACGACGACGACGACGACGACGACGACGACGACGACGACGACCGATACCGTCCGCCGCAAGCCGTCCGAAGCCTCCGGAAGTCCCCAAAGGCCCCCCCGCCCAGGCTTCTGGGAACCATTTGAATTTTCCGAAAGCCCGCCGAATTTCAAAATGGATAGGCGCATCTCCAGAAACCTTTCACAACCCCCGAGCATCGATCCTCGGTCAACGAATGCGCGACGACGATACGACGAAGTCGACGACGGCGAGAGGCCCGCTCTTGTGCCCCAGGGGGCCCTCAGAAGTGGATCTCGGGGCGAGGGGGCCGCGTCCCCCAGGGGAGGAATCGGGAGCCCTGGGGCAGCAACAACAACAATCATTTTCAGATTGTTCGCTCCTATCTGCTCGCGTGCCATTCAACACGTATATCCTAAATTCTGAGTACTTGTCCTCTTCATCTTCGATTGAGAGCATAGCTTCCTTACCTGCCACGTGTATTTAGCGCAGCCCCTAAAACAGGGAAAGGGAGGCCGGATGGAACAGGGAGGGAGAAGGATGGAGCACGAGGGAAATTAGCAAAAGGGGGGGCTAGAAGCAGAAAAACGCGTGGTAGAATCAGACGGGCAGATCGGGCGGGCAGATCCTAGCGGGCGGGTTGAGAAGGCGGGCCCAGGCGGCCAGGTCGAGCGGGCGGGTTGTTGAAGCGTGAGTCCTGCATAAAACACGAGGAAGACTCTAGCGATAGCGCGATTCCTAAGTTTCGCGAGAGAAGTCAAAGCGCGAGCATGATTCCCAAGTGTCAAGCGCGCGGCGTGGAAGGAAGTCCCATGCGAGAGCGCGATTCCTGCATGATGGTGAGGAAGTCCCGCGCGAGAGCGCGTCTTTGGAATACGTTGTGAGGAAGTAGCAGGGTGGAACCGTTGTTGTTGTTACAGCCGGGGGGCCAGGGGCACAGTTTGAGCATGAAGATTTTCCCTGATACCAAACCGGGTAGAGCACTTCGATTAAAAAATTAGCCCGGCAAAGGACCCAACCATATGCAGCTGCGAGTGCCGCGGGGGAGATGAGACGAAGGAGGGAGGCGCGCAAACTGTGAGTAGCGCACGCGGTATAGCCTTCTGCCACGAAACGTGTCAAGGGTGTGCCGTCATGAGCCGGGAGGACGCCTGCGAACTTCGCCATTGGGGCCTTCGGTGGAGCTCCCTATGGGACCACGAAGCGTGTGAGGGGTGTGCCGAAACTTGGCGGCGTTGCCATGCGAACTTTCCCATTGGGGTCTTACGCGGAGCTCCTCCCGGGGCCACGAAACGTGTTAGGGGTGTGCCGAAATCGGGCAGCGGTGCCACGGCACCACGAAACGTGTGAGGGATGTGCCGAAATGGAGCGGTGATGCCTTTCCCACAGGGGCCTTCGGCGGAGCCCCCTGTGGGGCCACGAAACGTGTGCGGGGTTTACCAGAATGGGGCGGCGGAGCCATGCGAACTTTCCCATCGGAGCCTTCGGTGGAGCTCCCTATGAAGCCACGAAGCGTGTGATGGGTGTGCCGAAATGGGGCGGCGGTGCCATGCGAATTTTCCCACTGGTGCATTCGGTGTAGCTCCCTGAGGGGCCACGAAACGTGCGAGGGGTGTGCCGAAATGGGGCGGCGTGGCATGCGAACTTTCCCACTGTGGCTTTAGGTGATGAGGTGATGAGGAGGAGGAGGAGGAGGAGGAGGAGGAGGAGGAGGGGGAGGGGAAGGGGGAGGGGGAGGAGGCTAAGGGAGCAGGGAGGAGGAGGAGCAGGCGGAGGAGGAGGAGGAACAGTCGGAGGAGGAGGAGGAGGAGGGGGAGGGCGAGCAGAATGGCCAGAGGTCTCTTAGGTGCCTCTTGGAGTCTTTTCGGATGCATCTTGAGACCTTCTTGGGGTCCTCCTGGGGCTTCTCGGCGATCCTAAGGGGCCTCTTGGAGCGTCCTGGTTGCCTTGGGGAAGCTTCTTGGGGCCGTTTGAGGGTCTCTTGGGAGCCTCTTGGGAGCCTCTTGGGGCCTTCTTGGGAGCCGTCGGGGCCACATTGGGACCGTCCTGGAGGAGGTCGATCAAAGAAGGGTGGGTACTTACTTAGCCCCCCCCAGGAGGCCAAAATGGGCCCAAACCCAAATTAAAATCAAGGATTGTTGCCTTTTCGTTGAGGCCATCTTGGACGCTCCAGCGACCCGCCGATCCACCCCCCAGGTGCCGGGTAGGGAGACGGGTAAAAGAAGAAACCCGCTGAACCACTCACGCCCTAAAGGGTTCTTGGGATTGGCCGCTCTTGCGCCTCGCCCGTTGTCGCAGAAACTGCGGCCATCTTGTCGTTCGCAATGTTGTACCGTGCATCACGCGTGCTCACGAGATCATGTTACGGGGCAAGCTGATGTGGCACGGCGCGAGCATATTTGTTCATGAACGATTGAGGAAGCGCCTGGATCAGGGCAGCCCGAGAAGGGCGACTGATCTTGCACAGAGGCCAGCCGATCCGTAAGTCATGTTGTGGTGGTTGTTGGCCTTGGGGCATATTCCGCCCTTTTCAACTTATTTGACGTCGAACGGGCCTGGGCTGACCAGCTCCTCCTCCCCTCCTCCTCCTCCTCCTCCCCTCCTCCTCCCCTCCCTCCTCCTCCTCCTCCTCCTCCTCCTCCTCCTCCTCCTCCTCCGCCTCCGCCTCCTCCTCCCCTCCGCCTCCGCTCCCCCTCCTCCTCCGCTCTCCTCCTCCTCCTCCTCCCTCCTCCTCCTCCTCCTCCTCCTCCTCCTCCTCCTCCTCCTCCTCCTCCTCCTCCTCCTCCTCCTCCCCTGACCTCCCATCACGCTGGTCAGCCACTCTGCCTCGTCCGCCCTCCGCTCTCAGGAGCACCTCCTCCCGGCAGGCCTCCTCGGCCCGCCGTCCGCGCCCCTGAGCTTCCTCCCCCGCGGAGGCGTGGACAAGATGAAGGCCAGGCACGGGAAGGCGCTGCTGGCGCTCCACTGGCGCACCTGGGTCAGAGAGGTGGCCGTTTTTTCGCGTTATGGTTTTCCGAGGAGGAAAAAAGGTTCCCACACCTCTACCCTTCGCCCTCGTTTTTCCCCCTTTGTAGGCCTCCTGGGAGGCCCTTGTCGTCACCGCCGGATTCGCCTCGAGAGTCTGGTCAGAACGCACCCCAGGAGAGATCTGGGGGGTAGCGGTATCGGTGCTTTTTCGTTTCCCAAGACTTCATTCCATGGAACCGTTGCGACTGTTACGTCTGCACACATTTGGTGTCTTTGTATTGCGAAGGCCTGACGGCCGGTGCCGCCGACCCTGTTCGCAATGCGCAGCAAGAGCACGGGCTGTGGGATGGTTTGGGGGAACGGGGAGAAGGACGAGAAGGTGGGGGAGGGAGGTGTCGTATCTGACCCGGGACTTCCCCAGGACTCCCCCGGGACCCCCCCCGGGACCTCCTCTCCCCCCCCCGTCGGGGAAGGGAAAGGGAAGGGGCTTCCCTTCGACTCAATGACGACGTTGCTCAAGGTCGGTACGGGGGGGGGGCGTCGTATCTGACTCGGGGGGAGGGTCGCTACCCCCCCCGCTACCCCCCCCCCCTCCCGGCGGGGGAGGAATGAAAGGGAAGGGGCTTCCCTTCGACTCAATTACGAGGTTGCTCAAGGTCGGCTTGGCTGGAGCCCAGGGGAAGAGGAGTCCCAGGGGGGGGCGTCGTATCTGACCCGGGGGGGGGGGGTCGCTACCCCCCCCCCCCTCCCGGCGGGGGAGGGATCAAAGGGAAGGGGCTTCCCTTCGACTCAATTACGAGGTTGCTCAAGGTCGGCTTGGCTGGAGCCCAGGGGAAGAGGAGTCCCAGGGGGGGGCGTCGTATCTGACCCGGGGGGGGGGTCGCTACCCCCCCCCCCCCTCCCGGCGGGGGAGGGATCAAAGGGAAGGGGCTTCCCTTCGACTCAATTACGAGGTTGCTCAAGGTCGGCTTGGCTGGAGCCCAGGGGAAGAGGTCTCCCAGGGGGGCGTCGTATCGAACCCTGGGTGGGGGGGGGGGGGTTCCTACCGAAACCCCCCGCCCCCCCCCCCTCAAATCGGGAGGAATGAAAGGGAGGGGGATTCCCTTCGACTCAATTACGAGGTTGCTCAAGGTCGGCTTGGCTGGAGCCCAGGGGAAGAGGAGTCCCAGGGGGGGGCGTCGTATCTGACCCGGGGGGGGGGTCGCTACCCCCCCCCCCTCCCGGCGGGGGAGGGATCAAAGGGAAGGGGCTTCCCTTCGACTCCATTACGAGGTTGCTCAAGGTCGGCTTGGCTGGAGCCCAGGGGAAGAGGAGTCCCAGGGGGGGGCGTCGTATCTGACCCGGGGGGGGGGTCGCTACCCCCCCCCCCGCCCCCCTCATGCTTCGGGGGAGGGATGAAGGGAAGGGGCTTCCCTTCGACTCCATTACTGTGCTGAGGTCGCTTGGCTGGAGGCCTCATGGAATGAGTTCCATGGGGGGGCGTCGTATCTGACTCGGGGGGGGGGTCGCTACCCTCCCCGCTACCCACCCACCCCCTCCCGGCGGGGGAGGAATGAAAGGGAAGGGGCTTCCCTTCGACTCAATTACAAGGTTGCTCAAGGTCGGCTTGGCTGGAGCCCAGGGGAAGAGGAGTCCCAGGGGGGGGCGTCGTATCTGACCCGGGGGGGGGGTCGCTACCCCCCCCCCCTCCCGGCGGGGGAGGGATCAAAGGGAAGGGGCTTCCCTTCGACTCAATTACGAGGTTGCTCAAGGTCGGCTTGGCTGGAGCCCAGGGGAAGAGGTCTCCCAGGGAAAGGGAAGGACAGAGACGACGAGTACAAAGAATGACGGAGATGACGGCTCGAACGGAAAAGCCCCTCACACACGCCGACAGGGTCGGCGGATTCTGGATATGTGGCTCGTTCGTAGCACCGTCCCCCTTCTTCCAGTATGTCTATGTCATAGCCACGGGCACGCGGGCTGCATCATACACTCTGTATTTCTGTCTTGTTGCTCTCTCTTTCTCTCTCTCTCTCTCTCTCTCTCTCTCCTTGGCGCGATGTGACCAGTGGGGAGTGATATCTTTAGTGATCGCCCTCATCACGCCTATACTTCTCCGTTTGATTCTGGATATAGCGTTCGCCCCAGATTTCCGAATCACAAAAAAAGTCGAGATGCTATTGCTATGATTGGATGTACGCTGTGCCAGACTCACGCCATGCAAGGGGCAGCACCCAGGGTCGACGGCCAACGTGATGATTGATTGATCGATACCGTACAGCGGAGGCCCATGCAAAGAAACTCCCTGCTTGCCTCCAAGGTGCCCTGGGTTTCTTGGCTGTCGACGGTTTCGCTATGGAAAGCGTCACATTCCCACACCAAAATCAATGGACGTCCTGGGGTCTCAGGGTTGGGTCTCTTGTGGAAGACTTCTTGTGGACTGGCCTCCACTGTAAACCATTACTGCAGCTCTTCCTTGCTGGTGTGGAAGAGGTGTGAGGGTTCCCTGTGGGCGTCCTCTGCAGCACTGCTCCTACCTCGGTGCTCACGGATCTCGCTCGATTGCGAAGGCTTTACGGCCGGTGCCGCCGACCCTGAAGGGGGACGACGACGACGACCACGACGACGACGACGACGACGACGACGACGACGACGACGACGCTACCCTGGGTCAGAGTCCTCATGGGTTCTGTTTGGGGTCTCTTCGGAGCGCTCTCGGAGGCCTCTGGGGGGCAGCTTTGGGGGCCCTTCGGGAGCATCATGGAGGCATCTTGGGAGCCTCTTGGGAGCGTCTTGGGGCTTCCTGGTGTCCTCTTGGGGGCCTCTTCGGTGCTCAAAGGTCTCGTTCGACTTGAGCGATCTTGTTCCCAGCAGGTCGCAGGGATGTACACTTCCGCGCAATATAAGTCGGGCATGTCCCTCTACAGGAGGCAAATTGAAGAATGGTTAAAAATAGCCTGGTGACGATGTTTCGATTATCATTTGACTCTTTGCTGGTATCGTTTGAATTATTTTCCGACCTAACAGTAGCACGTCCGCCCAAACATGATGTTGCTGATTTTACCAAGCTCCGACCGCCGCGGTTTGATAGAAAATTGCAAGGGTGGGTGCTCAGGAGGAAGAGACGACGACGCATCTCGCTCGCATTGGGCCGACGTCTGGCCCGCAACTCGAAAGCGGGCGGCAGAGCGGGCGGGTCTGTCGCTTATGAGACCCGCGTGCCGTTGGAGGTGGGCCTCCAAGGCCTCATCGCAGGGCCCCCCGCGACGTGATTCGATGTGTTTCCATTCCGATCCTTCACCGGCATCGGCCAGGGCCAGCCGAAGACAGACGCAGCGATCCGATTTCGACTCGATCCCAGACGGTTCGCCAGAGCTCCGACCAGTTCCCGATCCGAAGCGATCCAGCGCAGGTTTCCCGTCTTGAGCTCACCCTGCCTGCCCTTGGGCAGCGACCCGAGGGGGGACGTACGGGCCTCGGAACAAATTAGCGAACACTCATGATGCCACATTCATCTGTCAACGGCTCCCCCTCCCCCCAATGTTCAAAGTTGGCGGTGGGTCTGATGAGATGCACTTCGACCGCAGTTTCCCCCGCGCGTGCCAACGTTGAGGTTGGGGGGGAGGGGGAGTGTTCAGTAATTGTCTCCCTCTACCGTATGAGAGGGGGCAGGCCTCCTCAGAAGGCGGCGCGGCTTCACTCAGAAGGCCCCGCGCCTTCTGAGAAGCCGACTGCGACCTCGAAGAAGGCTTGCGAAGTTTCTCCGAATCGAAGAAGAGAAGACGCGGCGCGCTCCGCGCGCCGGGGGGTCCAGCGCAGATCCAAGAAAGCCGCGCGGAGCGCCAAAAGTTTATGTTCATGCAGCTGCTTGTGTGTTCCAGACTCTCTGAAAGCGCGAGAGCGTCTGAGGAGCCCCGCCGCCTTCCGAGAGCGCCCGTCCCCTGCTCGCCTTCCCCCCTCGGCGTGCCGCCGCGCGAGGAGAGGTTTTGGCTTTCGGGTCATACTGGCGTTCGAGGTCTGCGCCGGCCGTGCGGCATCCTCTGGGGGCATCCGCCCGAGCGCGCTCGGCGAGGCGCGAGCTGCCGGGGAGCGCCCCGAGGCTCGAGGACCGCCGTGTGCCGACGAGAACGTCCGAACGCCCGAGTCTCGAACCTCGGACCTCCCTCCGCACGGCGAGGAAACAGAGCGGCCCGCGAGTGCCCCTCGCTCGCCCACAAGCTGCGCGGCAGAGCGGGCGGCGGTAGAGCCTCCGGCTCCGCGGCGGAGGTGGACGTCGAGGCGACGGAGCGGCGGGAGGAGCACCCCCGTCGCCTCCTCCTCCTCCTCCTCCTCCTCCTCCTCCTCCTCCTCCTCCTCCTCATCCTCGACCTTCTCAACCTCCTCCTCCTCCTCCTCCTCCTCCTCCTCCTCCTCCTCCTCCTCCTCCTCACCTCCTCGCCTCCTCCTCCTCACCTCCTCCTCCTCCTCCTCCTCCTCCTCC